TACAAAATTATAGGCTAGTTAATTTTGAATTTCGAACAAGTGGGGGTTGCAGCTTGACGGAGGTCACCGGCCGCCTCGTCGTGACAGGGCCCAAGCGGCCCTGCGCCTTGCCGGTTGGGGCGCTCGCCGGCTCGCGTTGTTTTCGTCACGAGACGGCCTCCACACCACCATGTCGGCATTAAGGCGCCAATGCAGCCTTTGTTTCGTGTACACTTCCACCACGCACGACTTTGTACTTACTGTTGTTTGTCTCAATAAACTTTGTATTGTGCGATGCACTTTATTTGGAGACACAGCACACTGCATGTCGAAAATCAGTCGGGAGCTTGTCGCTTTCGAGTGGTTCCCACAATACTGGGCGAGATAATTGGATGGGGGAATAAACCCGCCCGCCGACACAGCTCGGCGCCGGATCTCACATTCCAGCGAGGAGGGACGTCGCCACCATGCACAATGAGGGTCGCTCCATACACACGGGATGAATAACTTAAGAACCAGTTGACGCGCCAGCAAATAGGAAGTCACTCCAACTGTGTAAGTGAACTGAGTTCATAGAAAACAAGTGTCACATATTGATCACACCCCACTCCGATAAGCGCGAGAGGGAGCAGGATTTCATGTGTTCTGAATTTTGCGTCTCTGACATAGGAGTGCGTATTTATTGTCAGGGTGCAGAGAGCGCGTTAATGCCCTGAAAGGAATGTTTGTCAGATTTCGATTGACGGACTATACGAAACATGCGAAGAACATGATTGCGTGATTGATTACTTCTGATTCGCAAATATCTATTCAACTTTGATTCCGAGCACACAATTTAAGAGAAACAGAGGTCAAGATTGACAATTCACTGCAAATAAGTCAGTGGCATAATAGTAGCAGTATTATTTCGTGCAATGTTATTTTGTTTTGTTTCAGAAAGATGATTCCCTGAACATTTATTTGCGAACTCGTATCCGAAATATTCCGTTTGATATAATTCATATATTAAAACGCAACGAAAATGAAATGTGCATTAATAGGCAAAATATGTAATATACTCAAATACGTACAGTATGTACAACACAATAGAGAATATATTGCAAACTCTAAAAAACATTTACTGACTGCAGGTATCTTGCACCTATAAAATATGAATTTCCTTGTTATCCGGTCCCTACTAATGACCATAGCAGTTGGTGCGCTCAGGAACCCCAATGGTCTCGAACCGTAGGGCGCTGGTCCTCACCCGAGCATAGCGCCCCAGAGCCAGGGCAGGTTGAGCAGCAGGTAGGAGGCGACGGCGACGGCCGCCACCTCCACCAGCCCCGGCAGCAGCGCCAGGCGCAGCACGGCGCCGCTCAGCCGGCGCAGCGCCGCCGGCTCCAGCCCCAGCCCCGCCGCCGACATGATCAGCGCGATCGACGCCTGCCTGCATCACGCACCGCGTTGTGCGGATTACTTATGTAATTTTAAACAATTATTAGCTCGATATGGAGCAAAACGGACGCGGCTGAAGTTTCTACTCGTAAACAGGGGCGATAGCCAAGATATATAACCCAAGCAAGGCCGTAATTTGTGATATTGCCCGCGTGTTGTTCAATACTTTTTTTTCAAAAGACATGTTTTTGAGAAAAAAAAGCGTGCAACAAGTAATAACACATCTTGGAATAGGAACCTTTAAGCGTCATTTTTTGATAAAAATAATTTGTCTCAAAATGTTTACAAATGTTAGTACTGATTTTACATTTAGTCTCTATCGGTCTTGTGCTCAACTGCTCTACATTGGATGAACTGATCAAAAAAAAATAAATCCATAAGGGTGTAGGGCGAGAAGGTGTTAACTCAAAAAGTTAATCTTTGACCAGTGACGGCAATTTTTTGGTGGTGCTCGCGCGTGCGGAACGAGCCTAGAAAAGTGTATATTAATCTTTTGAGTTAACAGCTTCTTGCTCTAGGTACTTATAGAGACAATATAATTTCATAAATTTCCTTCACATATATTTTCAACTGTTCTTGGTATAAAAATGATTTCTTCTTTCCAAGATTACACCTAAAGATCTGTTCTATGGTATTTTCTGCTTTACTCCGTTTCCCTAGAATAATTTCTTCCTCTCTCCTTCTCTCTCTCGTTTTCTCGTTCCTCTCTCTTTCACACCTTTCTTCCACTCTCTAATTCATCCTAACTTTCTCTCTTCTCCCTTCACACCGAATTTCTTTACTTACTGAATATTCATTTTAATTTTCTCAATTTCTTGAACCTTACAACTTTCGTATTTCTCCCTCTGGGGTGTGAAAGCTGATATTGCTGATAAAGCTGGTAGGGGGTTATAAACCTCACACGGTAACTCCATTTCACTCTCACTTCATCTATGTTCAGAATATCTTTTATTTTTTAATATTGGTCCTTTTAATTAAGCGTTATTATTTATGTTTATTTGTTTAAAATCACGTGTGTGTGTTGTGTTCCTCGCTTTGAGTGTTAGTGACAAATAGCAAAACTTTTATCCCTCCCAGTGCGTGCCTCCATCTGCTGTTTTTCCCAGGCTCCTACATTACTACTTCCGGCAAAAATTTATTGTTCTTGCAGCACGTAAAATAATCCTGGCTAAATTATCGTCAAAATTAAATAACCGACCGTTTCCAATCCTCGTCAGGTCCCATAGTTGCCAGGAATATCTTAAGTTAACGACACCAGTAGTAGTCCCTTCAAGAATAAAATTCGAAAAATAAGATTTTGAAACTTTCACCTTCTTTGGAACTTGCACATCGTAGATCAAACTACTAGAACAAAAACGAGGTAGGGAAATAAATAAATTAATAAAGACATAACAAAAAAATTGGTAATTTTTATTCATTTGATCTATTGAGATATACGTATGCTAATTGCTCTAACGAATTTGGTACTTAAGCCCAAGGATTTTGAAAAAACTGCAAAAATGTTCTGTTATAGTCGCTACTAGTGAATTTGACTTAGAAAATAAATATTGCTGATACTGCTGTTGTGGCGCTAACTAGCGACAAAATCTACCTGGAACGCTGTGAGCGTATAAGGTGCAAATAGAAACTTTCCAGCAATTTCACACCTTGTCGGAGATGAGACAATAATTAAATGTCTTAAGTGCCTGGTAATTATAAACAAACATACATTAGGGATGGGACATCAATGTTGATGTTTTCAAATCATCAATATTTTTATACAGATATCGACAGATACATTTGATGCCGATTTTTTTATTTTTTGATATTTTATTTTGAATGAAAAATAAAACAAAAATTATGTTGATGAATGCAGTGTATTAATTTTGTATTAGCCAATACGATTATAAACCTTTTAATATTCATTCTGAGAAATATTTTACTTTGTTTTGTTAACTAAACCTCAATTATAAATAAATGAACACGACATTGTGACACAAGTCCCCCTACGTGAACACTGATGTTAGAAATCACTAAAATGGAATTACGAACATCGATATTTTAAACCATCGATGGTTTTGGGGTGAACTTTGAACATCTATTCTTAAAATGTGAACATCGATATTTAGAAATATAGATATATTTTGGTCGATGTGACCTCCCGAATAAGCACAAACTTCCTTGCTTGGCTTGTATCACGTACCTCAGCAAAGCGGCGACCTCCTCCGCGCCGGCATCCAGGGCGACGAGCCGCAGGGAGC